AGAGGAGCAGCAGCTCCATCTGGAGGCCAGTGCCGTCAAACTGCTGCATATCCCTGTAGTGCTGCAGCTGCTGCCATAGTTTCTCGATGGACTCGCCAGCAGCCGCAAACTGCTGACGCTGCTGATCGCGCTGCAGCCGCAGCAGCCGTCTTTGCTGTAAGTGACCAAGCCACTGCTTCCACCGCTGCAGCGCAGCAAAATGAGAAGCACTGTTTTTGTTTTGTTTTTCATGACTCGAGAAAGAGAAACGTTTCTATCGCTTTCTTCTGCCACTGGGAGGGCACGGATGACAGAAAACCCTCACAAGCAGATCGCCGTTCCCGCCCACATACCGACAGGGAGACAAAGGCTAGGAAAGTGAGCATCAACAATATTAATGCTGTGCTGTTGCTGCTGCTATTGCTGTTGCTGCTCTCGCTGTCCCTGCTGCTGCTGCTGCTACGAGGACGCACCTGTGGATGCTCTGCCTTCAACCTGCACAGCCACCCGGCCAGCTCCTGTACCTGGTGGGGAAGCTGCTGCATTTGCTGCAACTTCTGTTGCAGCAGAGCCTGCTGCATCGGTGGCGGATTGTCCCGTCTGTACACCGCAACGGCAGCAGCAGCGGCCTGCATCAAAGGGTTTAGTGTCCGGGGGAGGCCGCAGCTCTCCCGCATTTCCTTGGCGTACTGCAGACAGCTGCGGAGTTTTGTTGTCAGCTGCTCGCCGCTGGAGCAGCGAGCGAGGTAGGCGTACACCTCATACGCACTTAGCAGTTTCTGTGCCACAAGATCTTCTTCACGGAACAAATGACAATCTGACAACGAGACGTGAAGCAGCTGTACAGACACCCGAAAGGCACAGCGTTGCTCCGCAATTAACGATTCCTTTGGCCACCACAAGTGCCAGGGAGAAAGGTGCAGGCAACTGAAGAGAGGCGTCGAGCGCAGCGAACNTCCTTTGGCCACCACAAGTGCCAGGGAGAAAGGTGCAGGCAACTGAAGAGAGGCGTCGAGCGCAGCGAACGGGGAATGCGCGATCCCAGCAGATCATCAGACGAAGCTGCAGCCCAAGGGGAACAGCCGCGGCCTCCACGCGCCACTAGCTGCAGCACATCGGCAGCCAGCAAGCGCTCATAGTAGTCGAGTAGAAGAGCCACTTTGGAGTTCTGAAGCAACGCCTCCTTAGCTGCTCCAGAATCCCTGACGGAGAAGGATGCGCCTTTGCTGCTGTCTGCTGAGCTGCCAGCAGAGAGGGACAGCAAGTAAGGTGGCTTCGGTTCTCCTTCTTCAACAAAGGGGTCAAATGAAAGCTTCGTCGCATTTTGAATACGCCAAGCAGCCTCCTGCAGGATGTGGCCGCAAATGTAACTGTGCGCCACGTGCTGCTCGCCAGACTCCCCCGCACCAGCGGAGGCACTGCAGCAGCAAAACAGCCGCTGCAGCCACGGCAGACGAACACCAGAGCACCGTGGCCCTGCACTGCTTGTGGCAGTTGGATGTGGCTGTTCTGTGTAGACGAGGACCCGGCGATGTGAATACGGGATCCGCACGTAGAGGTCTTGAGCTGCAGGAAGAGCTGTTGGTTCTTTATTGGTCCCTTCTTCGTCTGCACCC